TCAGGGTGACCTTATAATTATGAAACGGTGCAAAACCCGATAAATTGTCCATAAAAAGTTCAGAAAAATGCAGCTGCGGCTAGAAAACGGATACCTAGGTTATTCGTGCTGGGGAATCCGTTTATGATGCTAGAAAAAAATCCTTAATGATTGCTTTTCTTGAAAGTGCAAAATTTGAGGGTGACCTTATAATTATGAAACGCACTGTAGAGACAAAGAAATTTTCGCGCACGTCTCGCCTTTAGTGAGCATAGTCTGTACCTGCCTTCTCTCATTGACGATCCCATTCTGTTGTCTGTATCTTTTCCAAATGGTAACGCTCTAGCCTTGAAGGAGCACAGTTTACGCACGCTCCGCTTCGAAAGTTCGGAGTCTACTCCTGCCTTCTGTCATTATTGTTTGTATTGTGTTAAATGTATCCCAACCAAATTGAGCGTTATAGCTGAGGTAGCGATTTCCGCACACGCTCCGCCCCAAAAGGAGGAGTCTGTATCTGCCACCTGCTACCTAGGTTTGCGTTCTGCCACCTGCATCCCCTTCAACTTAGTACTGTCTGAGTCCACGGGAACAGTAGGAAAAAGTTCAGTAACTTTAGCATTCAGTGATGTAGACGCTGAATAATTAAATCAAAATTTCGCTTATATGCCGACTAAAAAGGATCATATGAGCGTGAACCATATGTGGTTTGGGACTTCTCATATAACCCAAAAGCTTCATCTACCCATGGCTCGCGCTCGAGTGTATTCGGAGCAACATATTGTAGAACTTCCCCCATATTTTCTTTGTGGTGTCACCTCAGAACCTTGCCGCCTGCCTTTCTGTTTAATTGCATGATAGCCCCTCACCTGTGTTTTCAATTATTTGGACACCAAAAATCTCATAAGAAATTATGAACACATGCTGTATTTGCTCGTTTCACAACAATTCGCGCATTTATTTTCATTTCGTGAAGCATTCACTCTCAGAATGTAGTTGATTAGGTATTGTTGATTTCAGGAACTGACAAAATCATCATGTCCAGTGATTATCAATGGGGACTTCAACATTGAGCCACTGTCCTATGTTTATACGTACATTAGCGAATCGAGGTGAGTTTCGAAGTTCTTCTCATTAGTTCTAACTCTATGTCTCATGCTTAGTGTGAGTTTGGTGCCGGTACACATATTTTTGCGTATTTTTTTATTTAAGCGTCTATTTGCGCGGTTTGCCTCGAAATGAGTTATCTGGTCAAGGTCAACTTGGAGGACCGTGCGTTCAAGCCGATAGTATTTTACCGTCTGCTGCAAAGATTGGTCGGGACAGTATGTTCATCGATGAGAAAGGTGAAGATGTTATTATTTATTTACCACTCATATCGTAAATCGGGGAGGTGGTGTAATGGCAAATGGCGTACTTCACACACGCATGGTGACGGGTTCGAATCATGGATCGATATACGCCTAGACCAACCAAGCCTTCCATCCCTCCGAGATCGGTGAATTGGTACAAGACTCGTCTGGGAAGTTAAAAGTACTCACTTGTACATCGGCTGCCCACCGCAACTCATTTGTAGGCCACGTACGCACCCATTAAGCCACTACGATTCTGATTAAAAGTCGAGTACAGCGGTGCATCCTTCAGACAGGATCGATTACAGCCAGAAACTTTATCCTTCTATTATTACTTTATCCTAACTTGATCGCAATAAAATGCCAACAATTTTTTTGTGAAAAAGTAGAAATAAACGTCAGTTACCGATTGTTCCCATTTGAGAACTTCACACGCTTCAGCGGAGTGTTTCATCAAGCGGGTTGATATGCAGCACAATTGTTTTACATTATCCCGTAATATTTTGCCTTTCTTACCAGGGAAGGATCCCAAGTCGAAGTGGCCGTTTGAAATAAGACCTACACTGGTGGATGTTTTTGGATGCTGAATTCAAATCTGCTTTCCAAATTTGCCGAGCGTTTCTCTGAACGGAGTAATGAGGGTGGTTTCAGGGAGCTGAACTTAAGAAAACTCAAAGGCACTGTTAACAAAAAAATAAGGGTACCCTTTTTTTGACGGGAATAGATAGAACTACTCTAGAATAAAGCGATAACAACGAAAAAGCGCAAAAAAACGAGGAACAAAAAGAATTACAAAGGGACAAAAAAAGAGCTGGAAAGAGGGGGTGGACGAATTTCACATTGAAAAAACTGCGGTTAGGGAGTGTTCGAGCGAGAATGCACGAAGGCGGCGCAATGTCTGTCATACAGACAACACATTGAAATCAACGGAGTTTCTAAAATAAAAAAACATTTGCATGCAATAATCTACCCAAAATATGTTAAAATTTCAATAAACTTACGAGAATAGTTGAAGAAAGCTACCGTGAAAAATTCATAACAAAAAACAATAGAAATAACAAACATAAAATAGAAATAACAGCCGAAAACTAGCTCCTGTACGAGGCGGTCGACCAGCTGACCATTCCTGGCAATTTGCCAATCAGCGTATTGATTTTTCACCAACTTCGCTCCAGTGCGAATGTGGTGAAGGACAACTTGAACACGTAGCCAGCCTAACGAGGGGCGGAGGCCTCCCGTCCCCCACTGTTCCTGGCCTTATTGTGCCCTATCCGGCCGTTTTCCGACCTAATTCCTGCACAAATGTTATCAGAGGGGGCTTAGAATTCTAACCATGTGCATATCTTCGAAACCATTTATTCGTTAACAGTGCCTTTAAATTAAGTAGATGTGCGTAGTTTTCCAACGGCGGTTTGGTATAGTGGTAAGCGCGACGCTTCAAGTGCGAAAGGCCGGGGTTCGGGTTTGACGGGGGAAGGCATTTTTGCATTATATGAAATTTCCCCTTAAGCACTGGAAAATACTCTTATGGTG